GAACCTACACCAACTGATTTGACTTTGTTACACAGAGTTTGATTCAAAACAGAAGGTAAAAGAAATTAATCACAAAGAAGATCTTAACTGAGCCGTTCAGACTCTTCACAATTCGATTCGATTGTGGACGAGTTTTACAACTGTTTCCGTGTATATCCGAATGGGAAAGAAGTTATTTTTCCGTCCAAACTGATCACTATAATGTTTGTTGATGTACTTGTTTAATAAAAGGGATCATCAGTGCCGGAGCTAGGATTTTATTTTAAGGGATGCGAATTAAAATTATCAGAATGAGTGTATTATATATGCTAAAAAAAATTAAGTGTTAAAATTTACCATTTTTCTCATTAAAAGAAATCTATGTCCATCCATCTTGTTTCATTTTATAAATATTTTATATATTATTTTTTCCAACTAAAAGTCATGTTATTGTACATTACATCTTTATTTTTAAGATACATTTTTTTCACATTTTTCAATTAAAAACTAATACACCATCAAAATGGCACTAAAACTTACTATATTTTCATTAATTTTTGTTGTACAGTATCAATCGCATATGTTTTTATAATGTTAAAAAAAAATATGTATAAACTCACATTTAATAGTCATCAACGGGATAATATCATAATAAAATTTCAAATTAGACAAATTTAAAAAATTAAAATTTTAACCTCGTATGTTAACAATTAGCACAGGATAAAACATGATTTAAACTATGGAGGAGGGAAAAATAATGCTTCCTAAACTTTTAAAATATATGTATATATATATATATATGTATAATGTTTTTCCTTTGTGGTTGTTTACTGAAGTTTGCTGAAATAGTTTTGTTATTTGATAAATTGAAAACTTGGTCCGTTTTAGGGGAAAAAGAAAAAGAAAGGAAAGTTAGGCCAAGTAATAAATTTATGTAAATTGGGACAGCTGATGTAAGATTTTCGATTTAGGAGGTTGATTTTTTTTTCTGTTTTATTTTAAGGCTAAGTTTTGTTTTTGTTGAATGAGCCCAATTGAAAAACAGTGACTATTATGTCTTTCTCTTTATTTAAAAATTAAAACTGAAAATAAACTAACATATATTTTTTGGCAAACTTTTCTATATTAGTTTTTATTGAGAAAAAAAAAGTGTAACACAAATACAACATAGATTTTTGGATTCACAAAAAGCGCCATAGTTACTATACATGTTTAAAAATATTTGAAAGGGGAAGCGAAAATCATATCTTATTTATTTTTCTACATTAAAATATATAACTTCTAAAAAAAATTAAAATCGGAGGAGGTGCAGCCGCACCGGCTACCCCCTTCCCTCCGCCTCTGGGGATAATGAGAAAATATTCTCCGAAATATGTCCTAAAGGCTAGTCTCCCTTGAACTTTCGGACAAAAAACTCTCTTGATCGTCATATATTTGAAGTCAATAATCCATAAGTGTGAAAGTGACTAAAAAATCAAGATGGTTGTGGTTATATTTTAAATTAAAAAATTCATATTTTTATAATTTTACTCCAAACTTGCTTATAAGTTTTAAAATGTAAAAACAAAAAATACTCCAAATTATATCCATATCTCATGATGCATGATTAAGTAATCACATCATCGTTTTCTGTGTATGTAAAACTAAAATAATTATGTCACATATCTATAAAATAGATATTATGAAACTTCACAAATTTAAATATGAGATTTATAAGTCTGATTTTTCACTATCAATTGTATAAATTATAGAGATTTATTATCGAATAAAAAAAATATTAGCGAAAGTGGTATGAATTTCCGAATTTGTAGATCAAAACAACACGGAATAATAATATAATTATTATTAATTTGTGAAGAGGTTTATAATACGTTGAAAAACTTCGAAGGGGCGTGGGGATTTGGGGACAGTTTGGGAGTCCGTCATTTTCGGATAATAACAACAACAATAATGAGGGGCGGAGACACATATATGATTAGTGGGGCAACTGCCCCAGCTAATTGTTTTTTTTAGTTATTATCTCTTAAAATTTGAGGTATTTTCTTAAAAAAATTAGATTTTACCCCACCTAAATTAATAATATTAGGAGGCAAACATATTAAATTAGTAGTATTAAAAATTTTGCTCCATCATTTCTTTGGGCCTATCTCCGCCCCTGACAATAATAATCTTAAAAGGTGTTGTAATCATTTTACGTATTTGTTCTCACAATCCGTCACTATTCCATCAACAGAGGGTTAAATAAACTGTCAATTTAGACATAAATTGGGGGGGAGGGGGGTGTTGCTTTTGTCCGTTTAAAAAACATTTGGGGCTTTTTCTCCTTATCCCTTAATAAAATCACCACATATAACAATCATTTCTGAACTGAGTATTTTTTTCCTGAATTATGAGCTTCAATGAAATTCTTGTTCTAATATAATTTTCTTTTAATTTAGAAGATTCACATCTTTCCTCGTTGTTTAGATAATGTGCATTGTTTAATTTCCTAGTTGACATCACTATCAAATGCGCCAGAAATGTAAAACCGCAAGTTTCTTTGCACACCACCCCTGCATTAATTTGATCAAAAAAATGTAGAACATTTCAGGGGGAAAAAAATGCCAAACAAAAAAGAAACAAACTATATATCATCCACGATCAACATATGTTTGTTAGAATGCTTATGACTTATGAGAGTATATAACACATGACAATATTTACATTCCATTTTCCGGAGGAATGAAGTAACCATGATGAAATTTTAGATTGAACCCACAAAGATCAAAGTATTAAAGGATTTAAATCTATGCTTTAAATACTCGAACAACTGTATAAGCGAATGTTGTCTTGTATTTGTGTATGTGAGAGAACGCAAATTCTAAGGAGTATTACCTGTAAAAGATGAAGGTCTTGTAGCAGGAGATAATTCCAGGCAGATCAACATGCAGCGGAAGAATTTACTAGAATCCGAGCCACAAGATCCATACGAATAGTTTATAGTAATAGTAGGCATATTTTATAGCGTAGTTTATTGTGCTTGAAGCAAATCACCAGAGAACAGCAACTAACAGTCCTCCTCTATCAGAAATTTACCCGACCAATTGAGTTGATTTCAGGCTACTCTCTCAATCGACATACTAGCAGCAATATCAAGATAAGACGACTGGTTTTTCACTAGGTTTTTAGGCGATAAGTAATTAGGGTTGTCCATCATTATGTATTTATAGATGAATACGAGTGAAATCCTAATCGTAACCCTAATGTTTATATTACCGTTATGACTCTTATTAATTTAATTATGAATTAACAATTAATTCTTATTAAATTAATAACCAAACTTAAGTCTAAATTCAATTGGTCTTTTGAGTATAACTAGTAAGTTCTTAAAACAGTGTTACTAATTATACTTTTTTGACTTAGGGCAAATCCAACAATAATACCCCTGAAGAGTTTAATGAGCCTTCCTGAAAGTGAATTCATAGTCCCAAAATCAAGAATCGGAGAAATGAATAAGAGTTCTCTTCCAGTTTACAGACAATTACAGGAGACAAATTCACAAATAGAAGTAGAAAAGGGGACGGGAGGGTTGATGGAGAGTTTAAGGGACGGGTCAGACTTTTGACTGGCCTCACACTAGTCAAACCTCTCAAATCATATCAAAATGTGTGTGTGTGTGAAATCATAAAAATTTTTTCGGGCAAATAATAGTTAGAATCCATTATTTTCATTCACTAAGACATTAATAGCAAGGAAGATATCAACAATTGGAAAAGGAATTTCGCCATGGCTATAAGTTATTTCCTCATGTCCTTATTATAAGCCATTTTAATTTTCTTCTAAGTTTTATTTAAAATATTTTTTTAATTGGAAAAAAATCTTAAAAATATATTTTCACATTCGTGGTGTTCTCTTAATTACTAGGAAATATTTTTAAAAATTTTAGTTCAATTAAAAAGACACCCTAGGTGAAATTTTGGACAAATCAAAATGACTTATAATAAAGACTGGAGGGAGTATTGCATAAATTATTTTCCACACTAATTTGAAATTGTTCGCTATAAGTAATGATTTATTCAGTCCCAATTTAACTTATACATGACGAATCTCTTTTTTTCACCAAAACATAATAAGAAACAAATAAAAAACAAAAAGTTTTTAAAAAATGCGTAAAATAGGTTCAAAGTTAAAAGAAAACTAAAACATGTGGGCATGTTTTTCTAGAATAATCTACAGTATCTTTAGTTCATGAGGGGTACATTTTTTATCATCCAATGCTTCATTTCCTGCATAAATCAACAAAACTCGTGCAACCATATAATTGTTTAGAACAAATTCTAAATTTTCACCATTATTCTAATACCTTGATGTAGTAAAGCATAGATCATATTGAAGTCTTTTTCTTTTCGAAGCAGCGACCACCTGAATTAAGCAACTTCTCGAAGATTATACCCTAGAAAAACAAAAGAGAAGAAAATATAATAATAATATTGATTAGTGAAGATTAAAATTCAAATAGATATTTATAAGACCAATTAACCCAATTGATGATATCATAAATTTCTTGATCGCTAACCCTCATTAATTCGTTTTATTTGGTATTAGATTTGTGACGAAGAAAGGAACTAATGAAAAAATGAAGGAGACTGGGAAGAAGAAAGGCATACATAAGGGAAAATAATAAAGAGAACACAGGAGAGATTAGACTCATTTTTATTGGTAAAAAATTTCAGTTTCTTTTTTTTTGTAATATGTAAATTTGTATTAAGCACTTTCAAACTTTACAAACTTACCTCCTTCTATTACATTCCTTTCTATATAAAATTTATCTCAAAAACTTCAGTAAATAAGTATTCTTCCTGTTTTTTTGTAAACTCAAAATTCTGCACTTCATCTCATTCTGGATTTTTCCAACTTTTTGCTTTGCCAGCTCCTCCAATCCAGCAAACCGTCTGCTGTTCCTTTCTAACCACACATGATACACTATAGCATTTAAGCAAGCATACAGCAATTTCTGTTTAGCAAGAGCAAACTTCCAAATATTAATCAAACTGCCTGCACTCAGAGTCTTGATCTCTCTTCTGATGCTCAGCCAAGACTTCAAGTCCTTCCAAATTCTCTGTATGTAGCCACATTGAAAAAACAGATGCTTCCCTGTCTCATCTTCTTTTTTGCACAGTACACGTTTTGGTTCACCTATATGGATTGTCATCTTCTGCAATCGTTCCACAGTGAGTATTCTGTCATGCCAGGCCATCCAACTGATGAAATTGTGCTTAGGAAGTCCAACTGAAGTCCAGACAACCCTTGCAGGTTGGAATTTGTGCTGATCTCCTCTCAACCATCTGTAACCACTGGTGGCAGTATACTCCTTCCCTCCATTATTCTGCCACTTTCCATTCACGATTCCTGGTGCAAATACCTCCTTGATCTTGATCTTCTTCCAATGCCAGCTGTTATCCTGAGGAGGTTTATACTCCCACCAATTTTGCTGTTTAACATAATAAATATGAATCCACTTCACCCATAAACTTTCCTTCCTCTTGGCTATATCCCAAAGCTGCTTTCCCAGAAGAGCTTTATTCCATGTTCCTGGTTCTTTAACATTTAAACCTCCTTCTCCTTTGCTTCTGCAAACTAAATCCCATGCCACCAGTGATCTTGATGCTCCATTCACTTTCTTACCCCATAAAAATTCTCTGTAACATTTACTGATTTGTTGTATGACACTTTGAGGAATCAGGAAAATACTGGCCCAATAAGAATTCAAACTGAGTAGTACAGAATTAACTAATATTGTTCTTCCTGCATAAGATAAATGCTTTGATGACCAGCATTTAATCCTTGCAGTAAGTTTGTCTATCATCATTTGACATTCTCTCTGTGTCCAAGCCGTTGGTGAAATTGGCATACCTAAATATTTCATAGGGAACTGCCCAACTTAAAATCCCATAATCTCCTGAATTTCTCCTTGCACATCCACTGATTTCCCTCCAAAGTACATATTTGATTTCTGATTATTCACACTGAGCCCTGTCACTGCTTCAAAATGATTAAGCACAGACTTTATCACCTTCACTGTTTTCAAATCAGATGCACTAAATATCAATAAATCATCAGCAAAATACAAAGCAGTGATCCTAAGCTTTTCACAGTACGGATGGAGAGCTAACAGACCATGATCCACCTTATCCTTAAAGCACCTTGTCAAATACTCCATGACCATAACAAATATCAATGGTGATATAGGGTCACCCTGTCTTAATCCCCTTCTTCCTTGAAAGAATCCTTTCAGATTTCCATTCAGATTCAAGAAATAAGTACATGTAGTCACACACTCCATTATCCAACCTATGAACTTACTTGGAAAGCCATACTGCTTCAGTATTTCCTCAACAAACTTCCAACTAACTGAATCATAAGCTTTCCTTAAGTCCACCTTCATTATACAACTAGCTTTAGCATCCTTTCTGTTATATTTCCTGATCAGCTCTTGGGATAGCAGTATATTATGCAATATAAGTCTTTGTTTAATAAACGCACCTTGATTCATATCAATCAAATTAGGAAGGATATTACTAAGCCTTTTGCAGATCATCTTAGTAATACACTTTATATAAGTGTATTACAGCAAGAAATAGGTCTTACCCAGTGGCATCTTTGGGATTAGCATTCTTAGGAATCAATGAAATCACAGTAGAATTAATTTACTTCAACAACTTACCAGTCTGAAAGAATTCCAGAACAGCTGCACAAACTTCATCTCCAATGGTGCTCCATGCTTTTTTATAAAATTCACTACTGTAACCATCTGGACCAGCACTCTTGTTACTACCAATACTGAATATTGCTTCTCTAACATCAGCCTTAGTAAAGTCCTTAATCAGGAGTATTTGTTGATCTATTGACAGTTTGAACCCTGAACTAAGTATTCTACCATCAGTTGGTGTATGATCACCCGTTTTCCCAAGCAGGTCTTCAAAGAACTTCACAAAGTGATTCTCCACTTCCTGATAGTCCTCTTCTAGTTCTCCATTATTTTTAATAAAGGATCTGGTTTTATTGATGCTTCTCTTCTCCTTTAAATTGGCATGAAAATACTTGCTATTAATATCTACCTCCTGTATCCATTTATCTTTAAGTTTCTGAGACGAAAAGCTCAACACATGTCTGCTTGCTTCCACATACTCATCTCTGGCTTGCTTCTCTTCCTTTTGCATAGCAACATTCTCAGGATCTAAGCTAAGTTGGTCCTGGATCATGATCAACTTGCTATGACATTCTTGATATCTGACCTCCACATTCTCAAACTTCCTTCTATTGAAATCTCTCAGTGGCGTTTTAATCAACTTTTGCTTACTCACAACCCTAAACTGTGTGGTACCTGTGATTTGCTTCTGCCAGACTTCTTTAACAATGGATTGAAATTCTTTACTCTGAGTCCATATGTTAAAAAATCTAAACGATTTCTTGCTAACCACTGATCATCTCCCCATCTAACAATCAAAGCATTATGATCTAAGATTCCTGCTGCAATTACTATAGTATATGATGTACTAAACTGGTTGAACCACTCCCCATTCCCCAAAGTTCTATCCGATTTAGCCATAATACTTTGGTCACCAACTTGCCTATTCCACCAGGTATATTTTCCTCCATGGACTGGCATATCCCATACTTCACCATCTTCCATCCATGCATTAAATTTGTCTGTATCAGCACTTACTTCTTTCCTTCCTCCTAATCTCTCTTCAGGATTGGTTACAGAATTAAAATCACCCATTATTAGCCATGCTCCGGTGATGTGATCTGCAATCTGTTTCAACTCCTCCCATAGCTTAATCCTCCCTTGAGCCAAATAGTCTGCATACACCACTGTCACATAGAACCAGCACTTAGTGTTGAGATTTTTCACCCAACAATGAATATATTGTTTATTAACAATCTGTATTTGAACTTCATATTCTTCCTTCTTCCATAATACTAATATACTTCCTTTCCTCTTCCCTTCATGATTACCATAGTATTCATATTGATGCCACTTCTTCATCACTATATCTTTAACTTTTTCCCCTGTTAATTTTATTTTTAATATCCCTACAAACCCAACTTTATTCATAGAGAGATATGAAATAACCTCCCTATGTTTCAGGGGACTGTTAAGTCTCCTAACGTTCCAGCTCATGATGTTATTCATGTTTACTAGACCCTATGAAAGGGTTACTAGTATCAACAGAATATATCATATTCATTGAGCTTACTCTTTCACTTCGTCTTCCACTTACCACCTTCATTCCCTTTTGATTTTGAATCAGTACTTCATCTCCCTTAGTTTCTATTTCAGATTCACTTGAGCTACTCTTCCCACGGGGCTGTTCTCCCTGTGCATCTTCCCTTTACTCAGTGCAACATTCTTCTCTGCTTCCTCAGGAATCTCCTTTTCTATTCTTTCCGACATTTTTTCAGTGTTATCTTTCAATCCAGGAATGGTTTGCCTGCCATCTATTTTTGCCTTCCATTCCTGTGGAGTTGGATGCTTGCAGATGCCAGCCATATGACCAAATCCTTTACAGTTCAAACACTGGATTGGCTTCCATTCGAAAACTATTGGTTGTTCCTGCAGTAGGCCATTTTCATCTTCAAACCAAATAGAATCCGGGACCTTATCAGCTATCTTAACCTCAACTAATACCCTGGCAAAAGCTGTTCTCATCTTTTTTGAGGTCATATCATCCATTTCTAGTGGAATACCAACAGCACTCATCATTCTACTTAATGAGATTGCATTCCAGCACCTGAGCTTTAATTTTGGCAGCTGTATCCACACTGGTACAGATTTTATGTCTTCCATAACTATATCCTTTTCCACTGACCAATCTTTCACAATAAACGGCTTGTTATCAAAATAGTAAATACTATGCTTCAGAATATTTTCCTTAGCTTCCATCGTTTTAAATCTGATTACATAAATTCCATTTTCTAACAACACCACCTTATCAAGTCCAGAGTTCCCCCAATTTCTTCTGATAAATGCATTGACAACAGGGAATGGAGGGTGAGCTCCCAACACAAAGCAAGCCACCGATGTTTTCCAATATTCCACTTCCGTCTGAATTTCAGCCTTAGTTACTCTGCTAATCACACGATCTTGGACTACTTCCGGTTTAATGAATGAAAGCTTCCTATCCACCATCAGTTGCTTGGGATCAAAACCCTGCCATACTCCCTTCACCAGTGTTTCCTGTTCATCTATTTTTCTACCCGATCTATCATTCCCCGAGCTCCGTGAGCTTTCCCCCACCTCAATTACCCTATACTTCCCAACTTTTTCTAACGATTTATTCAAGTTAAGTCCAGATCTAGTTTGAGCTGAGCTAACCTGATCCTTCGCCAAATTGTTCACGCAATCAATCGTATGCAGTTTCCTTTCATCTTTCGGCTGCTCTTGATGTTCGTTGACAGCTGCTTTGCTCTTCTTCTTCATTCCTCTTGCCATGGCGGACGTAGCTACGTCAGAGAAACGAAATTGACGTCACACACTAGAAGGTGTTTTCGCCCACAGTCACGAGAGCATAGTAAACAGAGAAAAAAAAATTTTGATAATCAAAACAGAATATCTAAATCCATATAAGTATCTATCTTTTTAATTTAACAATTGTTTGTAACCGATTTGATTTTGTTTCAAAACCAAAAAAGTTGTTACGGCATTTTTTTTATTTTAATGAATATAATAGAACTAATTATAACTAACAAGATTTACCATACATGTTTTATATTATTTTATTTCAAGATTACTGGAGGGATTTCATGATGATACCGATAATTGATGATATTTTTATTTGTCAATCATATAATGTCAATTATCAAATTTGTAGAACTGTTAACTTATAAATAATCATTTACCCAATTAACCATACATATGACGGACATAAAATTCCTCTAATAATCTCGACATAAAATAATGGTTACTTGTACTGCATACCTAATGCGCCGAATTACACTAGCATATAATCGAGTTGAGCCATTGGGTTACTTTTATTAGCATAAAGTTTAGAATTAGCACAAAAACAGGTAAAAATTTCTTTCACATTTATATTTGATACTCTCTCTGTCCCAAAAAATTATTTTTTGTTGGGTTTCAAAATTTGTACTAGTTTTAGAATAGATTTCGAAATTTTTCCAAAGTTGTTCTAAGAGTGCATTCGGAATGATAAAGGTTTGATATAAAAAAAATAAAAAAAAAGTTTCTTTTGGGGATAAAGGCTTTTCTCTTTTCCTTTTTCTGTTGTATTATGTTCTTGAATGATATTTTGATTGGTTCAGCTTGATAAGATCAGCTGCTCATTAAAAACTCCAAAAGTTTATCAAATGTTTGATAGTAAATTTGATGGTGGTTTTTGGAGTGGTTTGCTTCTTATTTTGGATTCGTTCATACTACATGCACATATAACGGGTTTTGGGTTGCCTCTTTTTTCGACTTTATTTTTTGGTGTGGCTAACTATGTACTGGTTCATTAAACATTAATCATTTATCGTAGGGGGTCGTAATGTGGCAAAAGAGGAAAATTTAATTAAGTAAATCAAGATCTTTATATAAATTCGTTGCTAGATAGAGTTGAAAATGAGCGTAATGAAAGAACTATTTAGTTCTAAAGGTCATACTTAGATGCTGGTCATTGGTGCTATTTTTTATAGTCATTTGTAGACACTGGTGAGATTTCTATATGTAGACACTTAGCTATTTGGAGATACTTAAATGCTAGTTTTGATGACGAGATTTCTATATTGCAGTCTGATTAATTAAAGCTTAACTCATATTAGCGCTAGTTTTTTTTCCTGATCTAACACCAAGTTTGTAATCTGTTTTGTGGACAGTATAACCTTTTTCAACATAATTCACACACTTCAATTTTGGTAGTATTTTTCCCAATTTCCACAAGTGTGAATTAACAAACAGTTGTCTTTTGATCTTCTTTCATTATTTTTACCAAAAACTTCAATTTTGTCTTTCTATAATCCTTTCATCTTGTTTGTCATTATTTTTTATTAATAGTTGTCTATATCTTATTATTTCATTACTATTATATAATGGAAAAAAAAAACCGGATTTCTTTTCATATTCTTTCATTGTTTCCATTGTAAATCAATTTCAGTTTTCTTTGTTTTATATTTTCTATCATTATTTATAATTAATTACTTTCAATTTATCTTACCATTCATTATTATTATATAAGTATAAAGATGAAAGAGTCCATCCAAAACTTTTCCCCTTTCCCTTTTCCTCAAAAAAAGTTTAGCAACAAAATTATATAAAGATAAATATGATATAAGGAGGGTCTGATTGCGGTACGTGTTCAATTGTAGTAATGTGTGTTCTTTTTCTAAATGTGATATTGTTGTTCTCACTTTTCAATAGTACATTATGTTTCCTACTATTTTAAAATTTTTGTAAGTAAGTTTGCATATCACTTTTATGTTTTTTTCTCCTATGGGTCTGCTTTAATTAATTATAAAGTATTTTACACTTAGTCTATTTTAAAATATAAATGACTTTAAACTTTACATGTAAACTAAATAGATAATCATTCAACACTCAAATTATCTAAGACTTCCCATCAATCAAAAAAAAAAAAAATCATTCAGCAATCAATTTGGATGTCAAATGTATTTTTATACCCCTCATTAAATGTATTAGAATTCTCAAAAGACATGGAACGGAGTTAAAATCATTTATTTAGAGTAAAGCTAGAAATTTACTAATTAATTTGCCTTGAAATCCTAAAATAACATATATTTTGAAATATTCCTACTCCAAATAACTTACATTTTGAAATGAATGGAGTATAGAAGAAGAATTTTGAAATTATCGGCTCTTGAAATTTAGACGTGTGGACTAAAACTGTTAAAAATAGTTATGCAATTGAAATTTTTTTTTCTGCAATTAAAAAATTTTGTGAATATCTAGACTATTTTCTAACATTTCTTATCTTTTCTTTTTCTTGCATATTCTACTTTTTGTGTTTTTCCTGTATATTGATTTTCTTTGAGACTTTTATACTTCTCCAAAGGCAACTTTCAAAGATTGTAATGCTTTCTCTTTCTTTTTTTCAAAAAAAATTAAAAGTTCTGTATACTAAAAGATTCAAACGTACATTAAGTATGATGTTATAAGAATATGTTTTTTTGGGATAAATATGTAAAAATATTGATAATTGGCTTTAGCAGTGCATATTTACAAACCAAAACTCCCTACTACATAGCATCTATCTACTGCTTTTCAAACACTATACATGACTTAACCAATCAAAGTATCTAAAATTGTTTTTTCCTTGACTGTCATCCTGCTTCCAAGACAATGATCAGCTCTCCATTTTAACTCTTGCTTTATATTGTTAAACACTGTTTCTTCATCTCCACCTGTTCCTGCAAAATTCTTTCATTCCTCTCCTTCCATATATTGTAGATTACAGCAGCCATTCTAGCAAACCATACTCCTCTTTTTAATCTTGTTTTGCTCCAATAAATCAAGATTTTTCTATTCCATTCCATTTGATCACTCAGGACCCTTTGTAAGCCGAGCCAATTCCCAACTTTATTCAGCAAGAAAGCAAGAGAATTGACATGCAAAAAACAGATGTTCTAAGGTTTCAGGATTCTGTTGACAGAATATACATCCGTCATCCCTACCAACAGGTTTAAATGAGCCAATCTTTCCTTTGTTAATAATCTATTATTCCAAAACAGCCACACCACAAAACAGTGCTTTGGAACATTGAACTTAGACCATGCAAAATGTCCAAGACTACACAGAGCGCGTCTGATTTAACTCTTCAAGTAATACACTTTTGTTGCAGGCTTGTTTTGAAGCTTGTGGTAACTGATTAAGGACTCGCTGAATGTTCAACCTCCATCATCCACTTCTTTTTAAGTTTCTATTTAGTAGTGATAATGACTCTAAATGTTCAATCAACCTCCATCATCCAACTTGCGGCTGTCGGGTTTAATTTACCAAATTACTTTCAGTTGTTTATGGGAACAATTCCAGAAAAAATATTCAACTGACATTTTTCTTTTCGAGACTGGTTGAATAGCGTCAAGTCGCGGCCAATTAATCTTTATAAATTTAACTCATTTAGCTTAGTAGATATGTATCCTTTCAGAGGCATTATCTTGGGAAATGAATTTAAGCTAAGCTAGGACAATCGTTGAAATCTATTACAAAGTGGGCTTTTTGTACCAACGAAGTTTTGAGTATTATTCATTGTATATTTGAATCGACAGTGTGTACAAAAGTTATACTCCATCTATTACAAAATGACTGTCTCGTTTAAATTTTGACTTTTAGATCTAAATGAATAATAATTTTAGGACGGATGGAATACTACATAGAACAAGTTTATAACCTGAATTTCGAAACACAATAAGTAAATTTGCACACCCAACAGGCAAAGGATCATGATAAAGATGTAAAAGAATGCAGACAGTTTGAAAGTTGATGACGGCACTTGGCCGTTGAGTCTAGGCCAAGGAGTCACGATTATTTTTTCATTCAATAACTGTTAAGATCTCAAAATAGTATCCGGCTTCGCGTTATTCACTGCCCAGATGGCCGGGAATACCTTGCGCTAGCCCCACTACCGAAACCGTAGCCACAAGGCCTGTCACTTGGTTGGCGCTCATCTGACCGACCACTGCCCCACCTATCAGAAACCGATGCAGAAGCCTGCCTAGAGTTGTCAAGTTGCATCTTGAATTTGGGCACATATTTTGCAGGTGCTGGTGTTGTTTCCGCTGCATTTGTGACTGTTTCTGCTCCAAGTGGAGGAACTGCTGCTCCAGAGTCTGTTTGATGAATGCTATTAGTGGAGTCAGGTCTCAGAGCTCCGTCACTTAGATCTTCCCAAGATGGATTCTCTCCTCAGCCTGTCTTTTTCCTCGAGTTCTTGTAAGCGTTGCCTCTGCTTTTCAGCCATTGCATCCAACTTTGCTTGATATTCAGCTGCTTCCTTCTTTTGTCGGCTTCAAAATCCTGAAAGCAGAGCACCATACCAAAAAGAGTGTGAAGCAGTTTGAAACTTGTTTCAGTGAACATAGGTAATAAAGCAATCTGCATTCATCCACACGTAATTATACACATTTATCAGTTACAATTGCAAGAACCGGGATGCCTAAAATATAAAGAAAACTCCCAAGAAAATGTAATCAATATGCAAACATACAACAAGTTGCTGCCTGCAAAGACTGTCTTAACAGATAACCATGCAATGTCCTTGCAGCATGCATTAGTCGAAGATGTTTAACACATGAATACAGCATGTACCCTTTCTCAGGCACCAAAATCACTGTAAAACACAACAAGGACCTACGTAAAGCACAAAAGACCAGACAAGTAAATCCTCTCCTTTTTTGTTAAATCTTTGAGGACTGAAGTCCCCAAAAATGAATAAAAACCATTTAATTTGTCAAAATATATGAATAATGAAGACGAACGCGATAAATTCAGGTTCAGAACATGCAATGTTTTTATTTAGCCCCAAATTTCTTCCAAAAATACAAACCAAAAACATAAATGTTCTTATATATCTAATGAACTAAGTATTATGCAAGCATTGATTTTAAGAGGCAAGCCTGAATCAGCGTCTAAAAATGCAGTATGCACCCTGACTTCACCATTTAAAATTGACGGTTCATTTTAAATCCAACAGGAAATGAAATACATTATCTGTTCAGGAATCAACTCACCTGACTGTTAAATACTACAGCACCTTTACCATGATCAATTTTCAACGACAGAAAATTGAACTTGACTGCCTCAGCAGATATCTTCTCCAGTAAAGGCAAGATTGAGTAGTTATCAAAGTTGTATGATGCATTATAAAAGTAGCTCAAGACGTTGCGATTGGACAAGCTATTATTCAACTACGTAACATATGCTTTCATACTTGGTGCTGTAGAATGCGTGCTTTAAATTGCTTTCCCAGTAATTTAGCTCAGATCTCCAGGTTCAACACGTCAAAGACCATTGTAGAAAAAAGCACTGAATTCTACCCATGCTGCTTCGCAAGATAATTAAAAGATGAGAGGGGGGTGTGGAGGCAGCACTATAATCAAGAATAAAAATACCTCAACCCCCCATTTTATAATTGGTAATACACAATTACAAGATATCTTTTACTACCCTCAGGCTTTCTAGAGTTGCTTAAGCAACAAGAAACAAGACTGTATTCTGCTAAGTGGAGTCAGTATACTCCTGTATCTGATATTTGTGTTACTTCAAAACAAAATGTTAACATTTTCAGGTTCAAAAAGAGGTCTTTCTTTCAAGTTTTTTTCTGATTCTGCTTAGAACTTCCCTTCCCCTGGTAGTTTAAGTTCATGATTCCCTATTTAGTACATGCCTTACTGAGCACCCTCACCATTGTGACCTATAGAACCCACAATTAAAATGTAAGCACATGAACCCTCCGACATTTTAATGAGGTATCACTTTCACATAACATGAGTTACAGCAAAAACTGAGATGAATTTACCTTATTTTTTCACAACCCAAAACCATAATCTGTTTTGCCCTATCACACTATTTATATCGCTCCACATGCCCATTCAAATCCCAGCTTTAAAAAAAAATTAAAAAAATAAAAGAATCAGAGGGATTATCTAGACAACATTCAGGATCCTCCCAAAGTTAATTCAATGAGCTGTCCCGCCCTATCTATGCCATGGGTAACAAAAAACAGTTACTCCAATAACTTTAAAGAGTCCCTCCAGCCACTCTTGCCACTACCAATAATGAATCTACAATACTACCTACAGAATAACACCCACCACATTCCTAGTTCCTCCGTTTCCATTTATATATAATAAGCCTATATCTCAAAACTAATCCAAAACCTTGACCTCCTCACCTACCATTCCAAATTTTGAATTTTACAAAAAACAAATATATCCCTGCACCTTCTCCGGTATTATCTATTAACCACGTAGCTTTACCAGTTGGCAATCCAACATTCCACCTCCAATTCTGCAAGTCTTTGTTCTTCCTACCCGTTGAGTGATTCTAGAAACCAGTTAAATTAAATACAAAAAATAAGCTTGTGGATGTTTCATCTTTTTGAAGAATTTCTTTGCGCAATGCAAGGGACGAAGAAAAAAACTAATCAAGCTAAGGAAAATGGGCATCATACGAAACAAAACAGGTACTCCAATGCAAACTGTGGGTTCAGGGTGGTTGCCCATTTCCATAGTACCCACCTAGTTAGCCATCGGTTCTGTTTTCATTACTCTTTTCATAGCTTACAGTTCTATTTTTATTTTGCATTTCTTTTCTAGAAAATATGCTACTACATTTTTTCCCAGCTAGAATATTACTGGAGAAGAAAATTCTTAGCATAATTTCACTTCTGAAAGATCCAGAAATAGAAATAGCTCTGCTGGAGAACCTTCACAGCCAGTGCCTCAATTATTGTTTTCCAGCTTAAAGAAGTCTTCAGTGTGATTTGAAATGTGAGAAATGAAATACAGATGTAAGAGAAAACAGTAATACCTGCTTCAGCAATGCAGCCAGTTTTTCCAGCGCAGGAGTGTATTGCGAGAGCTGTACCTCTGGAAGAGAAGATGCAGATGAAAGCTTACCCCCGATCTTCAAAACCTTGACTAACAGTGGTTGAACTTTTGATGCCAAATCAAGAGGAAGAAATTCATGTTCCAAAAGATGATAGAGGTCCTTCACATCCTGTGTTGCACAGGTCAATACACCTTTGGAAACCTATTCATAAGATGAGAGATACAAAAATGTTATCTAAGAGAATGGAACGACTACAATTATGTTTTCCTGATGCGTCAAATCAATTGAAATACAAATCCACTACGAATTTGGAACGAAGTGCTATCCCCTGCTTACAAGTTGAGGCAGCAGGCTCTATTTATCCAGAGAAAAGAAAGAAGAAAAAGTAAAAGACAAAGTCTATGTGAAAAGAAGATTAAGTTTCATCAGACTGATTTCAAAACAAGAGCATCTACTATATACTTTGCATGCCTCGACACGTACAAAGAACTTCTGGAAACATACATTTACTAACAAAAAGTACTACAAGCTTGAAATCTTACCAGCTCTGTTAGCAAGAGATGACCTTGACAGCTGAAACAAAGGCAAAGAAATCAAGTCAAAAAAAAAAAAAAAAATTTGTCAAAATAGACAATTAAGTCGAATCGCAAATAGAAAATGCATGTTCTCCACCCTCAAGCGTATCGTCAATGCTGAACCCTATTAGATTAGCCCTCCTTAAGTTGCGTCGATTTCCATTTTCCAGTTCCAGATGAGATGACCCACGCGAGAGATCATAAGGAACTGAAAAACCAGCTAAGACTACAGAAGATGCAATCAACTGCAAATCCTTCTGGGTAAGATTTTTATTGAAGCTTTTCTGAAGAGAAAAAAGCTTGAACCATGCATAAGCATGGTGCAGATGGCTAGATGACATCCGAAATATTTCTGTCAACTTAGTATAGTAAATAACCAGTAAAGATGGTTTTGGTTGTTTTTCAACGATGCACATGAGTCCATGTATATGTTCCACTGAACAAAATGCTTCCTGCAGGGGAAATAAAATAATCAAAGGTAATAGACTGCAAGAAATACGCAAACACAGAAGGCAAAAACAAAAGTACTATATTGAGTATTCCTATTCAGTTTTGAATGGACAGACCTGCCAGAGCTCGAGTTCTGTAGCAATTTTTGGCTGTTCAAATCTCGTATCTAGGTATAACTGCAGGCTTTCAGGAGCCGATATATCTGGGCGGTCCTTCTGATCCTTGTACTTGTTAAGGTTTACCAGATGATTCCTGATGATGTCACACAAACGACGAAATTCTGTGGTGCGTTTGAATTGTTTGCAAAACTGGAAAGCACGGTGCCCACATCTTGGATATATTCCCGAAGACATAAGAAAAAAAAATGTCAGTCAGGTCATCACTTGTAATCCAAATTAAAATAAATGCAAGATGATATTAGTAAAGATCAATTTTGAAGCCAACTTCTATGAGAACTAGTATTAAAGCTAGCAAGTACTTGAAAAAATTTGCAATTGTTAGAAACTGGTACTCAACACACAACATACTTGAGCATTCATAATGTCATCGAATATGCTGTCATTAATACCTATATTTGTTTCCCGTGCCTACTCCACCACTCGGTTTAGGAAATTAAAAACTGAGATTGCAAAACTAGTAAAGCACTCATGTTACGCTACTTCAATCACAAGGGATTCAGAGAACAATCTGTTTTTCCCACCTGTTCTACTCTAAAGCATCTTGGGTCTTCTCTTAGCCAAGGTCCTCTTCTAGAGATTTCTGGAATTAGACCTTGTAATGTGAGGGCCAACCATCAACAGAACTATTTTAAAGGAATTCCATGAAATCATGAATTCCCATAGATGGTACCACCGCCTCATCATGGTTAAAATCCATGAATTAGCTTTAGCGGTCCTCTTTGTTCCTTGCTCTATGATATATTGGTGTTTTGTTAACTCAAAAGCAGAATTCAACGGCAACTAAGGACTATTTTCCAACACAGTCTTTCTCCCAATTCTTAATAAGCTAAATCCAGAAATCTGAAAGCAAGTGAGAATTACTAAAGGGAGACATCAGCTTTGACCCAAAAAAAGACCCTCAAAATCAGTCGATAAACTTGCCTTAAATAAGCAGTCAGGAAAAACAAGACCATAAACTCTTTATAAATTTACAAAAACCATGAAAAGTATTCTAATCTTACAAGATGCACTGACAAAAGGGCATCCTGTAACTGTCCAAAATTCCATCCTCTGCCACTAGGCTAAGAATATAATTTACAGTCAACAATCAATCATGGGTAACAAGACCAATTGGTATAGCAAGATTAAGAAAAAGAAAAAAGCATAACAATTAAACCAATTCCAAAAGGACATTTTCGTTTTCTCATTTTTCCAACTGCTACAACATTTTACTGCATTCTTAAGGCTCTTTAACTTATAAAAAAATGAGGTTAAGTCACAGTGATTTTTATCATCTTCAGCAGTTCAGCCAGATGTGAAATTATGCTGTAAAATCAATCGTTAAGCATGAATGTGTTGAATGCAACGGGAAAAAAAAAAACAAGTATAACAGCAATCAAACTTTAATATATTACAATGTGGCATTTACCGCATAAAGTGACTCCAGCTTTGAATTATTTCGTAATACTTCGAGCACCGTCCTGTAGGTTTCCCATAAGAATTTGAACCAGGGAGTGACAAGCTCACGGTCAGACCTATCTTTTCCTTTTTGACCACTGACGTAGCTCAACATCAGATCTTCAGGCCTAGTATCAGCCTCTAAATCATCAATATCAAGGGCTTCCTCCAGGGCATCAGCCTTGTTACGAGCAAACTCAGCTCTCTCAGTTGAAAGATAGATAAAGTGTTTAATGATCTCCCCCAATGAGCTTACATTGACTTGCTGACACATAATACGATACTGATTCAGACCTTCCTTGGCACCCTTACGCATTTCAACACAAAGGTCAATATATTTGAACATAACTCTTTCAAGCGTCTTAGTCCATGCTCTATATCTCCGCGAGGTGATCACGCAATGTATGGTGTCCCATGCTCCTTGTTTCTGTCCAACATTTAACAACTCTAACACAAACAGCAAACAAGAGGTCAGTTCAAAATCTAGCAAAACGAGTTAGCAGCTCTGGCATATTCTTAATTTAAAATTGAATACAGGTACGCATATACAAGATGATGAAAGTGAGCAAATTTTCACCTTCTGCACGCTTCAGTGCATTCTCTGGTTTTGCAAATGACATTGCCATGCTAATAACTCACAAAGTTTCACCTGCTGAAAGGTTTCAAGATCAATCAACATCAACACATAGCAAAATGACAACAGGAGATGGAAATATAAACTGAAAGAACTGGAAAAGTGATAAAGTAGTAAAAAAGAAGCGAGGTAGCAGCTTTAAGATCCGAAGTAAAAAGACTTGACAAATTTTAAGCAGCAAAGAAACAGCAAATCAAAGACAAAGTACTCTGTAAGAAACAAAAATGGTCTTTTTCTTATTAATATATTAATTCTTTTTCTGTTACATCACATTTAAGTAATGGTGCGGAAAATTCTTTCATCGTTGTTTAATACCATGAAATCTCATAAATGAAATAAGCTACACATAAAACTCTTAAATTTTGCTGGAAATTACACTAGAACTAACCCAATTTTCTTTTGCACTTTAGGGCTTAGGCGCTGCAATTCACAAATAGTGTTAAGCACATTTTCACCTATTCTGAAGCAATCTGAACTTTCATCTGACTTTCTAATTGGAGAAATTACAACTCAATAGATGTTCTCGGCTTAGAGCATAAACTAACTACAGCAACCAACTTATTCATGTCTTTCAATCATTTCCAATCAAATCCTGTATCCAAGGTTTCACCAGAATCTGACGTATTCCAAATAAATTTTACATGTTAAACCTTTAAATAACACACTATCTGACCACAGTTACTGCAATACTTTTAGCCTTATGAACCAAATTGCTTAACCAGTCAAGATACTTTCAGGCATACGGCTATTCTATAGCAAACACCTCACATCAAAATAAATAAATTAATAGATAAAATCAAATAAAATAAAGAACAACCACCACCACCACCAGGAAAGGCCCTTCTGTACCTTTTCATTTACGTGAGATACCACTAGACAAAATGAAAATTGAAAATCAACACCAGTTTTTTCAGAAAGATTAATAATATATCATGTACACTAGCTGGAACAATCCCATACATATAATTACTCCAATTGAAACACCGTAAACGATGGGATACGATTGTAACTCCAAAACAACCGCAATTCAATCAAAATTCCCAAAATCTCCGTAGATAATAACAGCACCAGAGTAAAGGTACACTAAATTACATTCACGAGTGTATGAACGGAAATGCATGTGATATATGTGTGCACGTAATTGTGAATTCGAATCCTATCAATTTCGTAAGCAGAATCAATATACTTCTAAAAAGCGGAAAAGGAAATGAAAAACCTTCGAGAGCTCAATGTGAAATTTTCCGGCAAAAAAGAGGCGGTGGTGGAAAGGCAGAAACGACGGCCTGAAACTGCGAGGCAAAGTGAGAGGCAGAACTTGCCGTTACCACTAGCATAGGGTTTATGCTACATGCAAGATTTGATAATAAACTTTTACTAACATTGGGAAAAATAATAATAACAATATTAAAAAAATAATAATATTCTTTTTAATTGGAAAAAAAATCTTAAAAATATATTTTCACATTTGTTGTGTATAAATTATCACGAAATTTTTAAGTTTTTATTTCAATTAAAAAGACATTCTTGATGAAACCTATGACGAAATCAAAATGTCTTATAATAAGGATCAGAAGGAGTACTATAAATAAACAACTAGATGTTTGGCCCAGGCAGATGCCCGGGCGCCCCTTTTAAATTACTATTTTATTAAAATCTAATTGAATTACTATTTTTTGAGGAATTAATTTGGCGTATATATCATTTATGCTATGATTTGGGGCTTAAAAAAATATACCTATAAATTTGAGGTTATAAGGAAATAATAAATAATTAGTTTATAAGGCATTATTCTTAATTGCTGGATTTGGGTATTTTTATTTTTTGTTTATATTAAGCCTGCAAAACTATACGATTGGACATTTGAATTTGAATTAATATATCCATTCGTTTGAAATGTAACTGATCCTTATTTGTAGTAAAACATGTGTTTTTTTTTATAAAAAAAAAATTATATAACTTCTAATTAAAAGAGACTTACACGTAGCAAAAAGACTCCTGAAATCTGAAATATGGTGCATTGGAGCCAAAACAGATGCATACTTAATTGACACATAAACTTCATGTCTTTTGCTTTAATATGGTAAAAGGGATTTTTATGCAAATTATCTTACATATAACTTGTATGTAGTGAGAGCACAAATTATTTGTAACTTTTTTTGCATAATTTTCAACCAATAAATGTAATTCTAGACCGGCCCATGGAACAATATTTATCTATAGTAAAAAGAAAATATTGTGTATTTCTTTATTTTAAATTCTTTACATGACAAAAAATTCAATCATCTATCATAAATCACGTTTAAATTTACAAAAACATAATATATTTAGGGCCTGTTCAGATTTCCTGGAATATGGGTGCTAAAGTAATCTTTTTCCTTTCTTTTCATATTGTTCAAATTTGTTTCGTTCATGAAAGAAAATAATCATTTTCTGATCATTAATTCCCATTATTTGTTTATTTTTGGGAAAGTAAAAATAAAAAAAAAGTCAAATAAAATAAACGTAAGATTCAAAATTATGATTACCCACTTGTTATTCTTACTTGTCCTTGGATTTTAAACTTGTATACATTTTTTTATTTTTTTATCCTCATATTATTTTATTTGTTATATATTTATTTTTAAACAACTCATGTTTCGTTTTCAAATTGTCACTTATTTGCTCATTTACATTTATTATCATAATTAACTTTTATTGTCTGGTATATTTGATAAAGATTAGTGTTTAATTATGAATATTTAATATTAAATCATAAATTTTGAATTTATTAATCAATTGTGGAATAAGCAATAAGTCAAACATGCTCAAATAATTGTGTTTGATGGCTGAATCATGGACGAAACTAAGGGGGCAGAGAGTCAATCAACCCCCAGCTGGCCAGATTTTTCCTTAGTAGGGATGTTTGGCAGCTGAAATTTCCTCAGTTCGACCATCAGTGATGGTTGAATAATCTTATTTTTGACCCTGCTATTTGAAAGTTCGCGCTCTATTACCAAATTTTATTTTATTTTACTTGAGATATGAATTATAATGATAGTAAATTTTTATAAGATTTGATCATTCTTTTATTTATGTAATATTCAAGTCTAAATGATTGAGTTTGAATATAAGTTCTTATGGTGTATGAGGTTTGAACACTATAAACTTATGCACAAATCGAATCGAATCAATGTGAATTTAACTTAAACACATAGCACATCGTTTAGTCTTGTGTCAAGTAATTTTGAATTCTCGCCACTTTTTGTCAAAAATACTTATGAGTCATTTCTACCTAAGAATTAGACAAAATTTAGTTAAGTCATGGTAGATTATACTTGGACAGTAATTAAAATTTCTCAGATAAATATTTAAATTCCAAGAAATATCTAAACACATGAAAGCATTATGATTTATCTATCTACAGTACTTCATTCGGTATTATAAGTCATTTTGATTTGTCCTAAATTTTAATATTTTTTATTAAAAAAGAAACTCTTAAAACTATATTTTCACATTTATTGTGTTTTCATAATTATTAGAAAATATTTTATGTTATTTTTTTCCAATTAAAAAAACATACTATATGAAATCTATGACCAATTAAAATACTTTATAATAAGGACCGGAGGGTGTACATTCTAGGAGAGAAAGCAGAGAGAGGAAAAAAGAATAATACTTATTCCTAGAATGCCATATCAACAAAAATCCTAAGTATAATTTTCTTAAAATTCTCTAAATGAAATTTAGTGTAGTTTTGTGAAAGTCCTCCAAATTAGTATAAAACAATGAAACACCATTTTGGGTACAGTTGATTATTTGATTCCAATTAAATTTGGATTTTTTTAATTATCTTATCCTTAAATGATTATGAAAATTCAGTGAGATATTAAATTTACCCTATTTACATAACTAGCCACTGGATACTTCTTTCATGTTTTAAGAAAATAGGAAGCATAATGACATTAAAATGTTAAAAATAAAGATAAATTCTTGAGTGATTGACTTTGATTATTATTTGAGGAGTTGTAATTATTATAATTTATTATTGTTGTTGTTGTTATTGTTGTTGTTATTATTATGAGTACTATTTTTTTGAGGTGAGTAGCCAATAAATTTCTGTTTTTCTTTCTTTCTTTTTCGGTAGAAGCAGTGAAGGAGTTTCTTCTTCTTCTTTCATCTCAGGACATTTGAGCAAAATAAAATAATATTACAAGAATTTGGCCTTGTTACACTGTTGACTATAAAAACTTCTAATAATGAAATTATACGGGTGTCCAATATTAGCATTTGGTTTGTTCTTTTTATTCTAGGTCTATGCCTTCATGTATTTGCTCAAGTCCTTGGATCAACTTTAGCTAGTGAAGCGTTTGGCTGTCATCAGACATCAAATCTGTTTCTTTAACATTTGATTTGATTTCAATAGTTGATATCATTAGAAAAGTAAGATCATTATAAAACAATAGTAATAAATCGTTAAAAAATTGTTATTTGATCATGTACATTGCACGGGTATAACATATACTTTTCTTAAAAATTAAAATCTAAGTACTATCAATTTTACTTTCTCATAATTTCCTAGCAACTAAATAGGCCCTAAACTCAAAGAAAAAACACACATATACTTAAGTGAATTTTTCTCCCTTAATTTTTATTGGATCTATTTTTTACATTTTTATCCCAATTAATTCTAAATTTTATCATTAGATGGTGATATTGTCAGAGTAAAATTTAAGTTTCTTTTCAAAAATGCTTTTATAGAGTCAATCTTTTCTCTCACCCTGATCTCTCTCTTGCTAGTCTCTGCACACTCAATCTTGCTCTCTATTGCTATCCTAATTCTTATAATTTCCCTCCAAAAATTCTTAGCAATTTTCCCTAAAAAAAAAAAAAGGAATTAAAGAGCACAATGTCAGAGGTTACAGTGAACAATTGAAATCTTCATCTTTATTGGGTAGTTTCACATTATAATCATCTTCACAAGCACAAATGTTAGCGGGCACAAAAAGAAAGTCATAATAAGGATTTCTTTCTTGTTCTTTCCTACAATTTATTTCGCGGTTTCAATCAAAGTTCTCTAATTCATTGATGTTGACATAATTTGCTGAAATTTGTTTTAAAATAAAATTTACATGCAATTATTAAAATAATACATAATAAGTTTGCTAAAAATTCGTGTGAATCTTATAAATGACGCACGAACGCAGAACATTGTCCAATTTTATAACATAAATTCTTGAAATATATTTTAATATAACAAGTTGAACGATGGTTATATAAAATGGATGGAGCACTACGTTTCATTTATTTACTTATTAATTAACAAATTATGGACGATATGGATATGACAATCTATAGTACTTAATTAAAGCAGCAAATAAAAAGAACACATGTCAGCTCCACAGTGAAAATTTTCCCTTCAAAAACCTTTTTTAGTACAAAATGAAAACTGACACGTGGCACTCTAGATTTTTTTTTAAAAAAAAAAAAGGCAGCCTTAAACAAACCCCAAATTTACGTCAAATAATTCCAAATAGGATAGTTATAGTGAAAAGTTAAAGAGACAAATGAAGAGATAATAAAATTCTCAATTTTTAGCTCTATCAGGCTTTCAAAAAATCAACCCAAATTCATTTCAGAAAAATCTCCGGATGGATAGGTTTCACAATACAAACTCTTCCCAATCACATTAAATCCCAACAATTTTGCCATTGAATTAGTAAAATTAAAATTCAAGCCATGACTATTTAGTTTCCATCAAAATATCTTAATACTTCATCGGGAGGGGTAGCAGAATTATCTTCTCCTTCGTCAATTTTTCACCAAAACAGCCCCATGCCATATCTATGTATTTCTCAGACGTATTCGGCAGCATTTATGAGAAAGTCCTATAAGACTCGAATCATAACAAGGGACATGGAAATCCAATCCCGGTAACTATCGGAACAGCAACAAGCCGGCGTCAGACCTAGCTGGAACGCTAAATTCTATATTCAGATCTGACCAGGCCGGTACGACGCATAGGAAGGTACTCACCGCTTTTCTGAATTTGTGTATTGGAAAAAAATCCTCTTTTTTGCTTTTGTTGAATCAATCGTAGGAAAATTAGGATAGTAGAAGACCTATTAGCTTGATTGATGAACAATCGATAGGGGAGCAGCGTCGGCGCGGAACCCAGGAGCACACTACCCTTTTTGGATGAATTAGGGTTGTGACGGTTTTGATTTTTTTTTTTTAGATAGGGTTTTTTTTCAGTTTCAAACATAGAGGATCACATCTTTAGATTATATGTTCATGCTATTGAATAGGTGAAGATTCACTTTTTAAAAAAAAAAAAAAATCGACGCAGCTGGCAGTAGGTGTTTGAAAAGGCCTCAATTGCTCTTTGCCGATTACAATTTCGTGAGATCCTGATGAGGTCCAGATGGAAGCCGGCTCGATTGCCGCTTTGTGAGATTCCTCTTTGGCCTAAATCTTCTCTTGCTATACGGAAAAAAAGGCCAGATGGCTCCATAAAACTCTCCAGTAATTCCTCAAATGTAGAATTTATAAAATTTATATTTTGGTAATTGAAAATTTTTTCTTTTTATTTAGTGCTGATTTCAGTACAGGGCATCGATTTTGAATCATGGATGGCGAGGTACTGATTAAGAATCGGATTAGGGTTTGTCAAAGATGAAAGCTCAGTATGAATAACAAGGAAAGCATAGCAACCACATTTTTTTGATGTTTTGTTCAATGATATTTTTGCATGCATCATTCTTTGATTTTCTTTGTAGTTATGATGGGAATACATCAAACAGACTTTGTTGTGGTATTTGTCTTAATTGGTGTTGAAGAAGTGAGTGAGGAGGCTCTAATCTTGCAATGATCTGTCTACTCTTAAAGGAATAAAAATTGTATTTTGTGGAAAACCTTTTCTTCAGTTCTGTTATTTGTTGTTATCGTGTATGTTTATTGTTTTCAAAGGGTACTAGATTCTGACACGACCTAAATATTTATTATTCATGCTAATATGTGATCATTTTCTCTTTTAGATGTGATGGATTATGGATTTGCAGCAAGTTTTATGTTGTGGATTTAATGTGTTGAGGTTTTAAACAAGTTTTCTTGCAATAGAGATATAAGGCCTTTATTATTATGTAGGTTTGTATGCAAGCAGATCACATTGGAAGGGCACCAATGTGACAAAAGCACTAGTTTCCTTCGCTACAAACTGAGTTGAAGGTCTTTAGTTCAAATTAAATTCTCAATTTTCATTTCGAACCAAAACTCCCTGGTCAAGAGTTTGTGAGTTCTCTGATTTCCTGCAAAACCCCTATTTCGATAAGATTTGGATAAATTGTGAGTTTTTGTACGTATGTTCCATGTAATAGTTTGCATGATCTGTTTTTTTGCGTGGCACTTGAGAGTTTGATGTTGATTAAGGTTTTGTACTTTTTTCTTTGATGTTGATTTAAATTTTCATTGTGACTGTTGAACCAATTTGTACATTTGTATAATTTGATTGGTTTTCGTGAAAATTCATGAAAATGGAGATTCAATCTTTGGTTAAAAAGCTATTGGATGTAAATAATTCAATGAGCCAATGTGTTGCATCTGCTGCCTCTGCTGCTTCAGTTAATCAGAAATTGGCAAGAAATAGGGGTATACTCAAAGAATTCAATCAGGTTTTCCTCTTAGCTTGGCATGTTCTATGTTTAGTTATACCTTGCCATGCTTAGTTACACTCTGTCATGTTCAATCTGTGTTTGTTATAGGGCCTCTTATGCACAGTTCATCTCCTCTTAACTTGATACTTTTGTTTTTTGTAACAAAATTAATTTATATAGGTTCGAACACATGTATTTGTAATCTAGATTATCACATTAGGTAGGTGTTTAATTATATAATAAAAATATGGGAGATGAACAAAACAGGTCAAGCGCCCAGGAGCTTGAGGTTGAGCATGCAGTGAACAATCTTAAATCGAGATTATGTCGGAAGATTCAACGGCAGAGGAACGATGGGCCTAATGTTGACTCTAATCCGTTTGTACTTGAATTTGTAGATTATCATCCCCATTCATTTATCAAGCAAGATTTGTGTATTTTTTTATGCAATAATCCCCTACTTCTAATTATTGTGTCAAATGTACGAAGAAAAGCATAAATCAACACGTCCATGAAAATTTGTTTCCCAAATTCCTTCTGAGATGTGGTTATTCGTCTTGATTTGACTTGGAAGAGTAGCTGGAGGTAAGTTAGGGTACTGAGAAAGTCATTTTACTTAAATATTGATAACTAGATGATTAATATCCCGATATTTTGAGTATTGTAGCTGTCAGACATGTATCGAGTTAAGAACAAAGATTATTCTATATCAATTAGTGTCATTGTTTACAGGCCCAAAATTCTACATCATCTTACTCCGAAACACAGGTAATTCCCGAACATTCGTCCAGAGCAATTACATAAATACATATTTACAACATATATAATATTTAGCGGCAATATAAATATTTAAGAGTTCACCTGGACATCCGCCCTGGCCAAGTATCTAGTTTAAATTATTACCGATATTCATGGCTTAAACAGTCGAATAAACGAGACAAAAATAAAAGACTAAATACTTCTACGCTATTGACTTGGGGGATTTCTTTTTTTGATAAAAATAAAAGAGAAAAAAAAAATAAACCCTAAGATCTGCGTGTTTTCTATAATTCCCTTGAGATTTCATTTCTACAATGTATTTGTCTACTGCCTACTTCATCCACAAAGAATTATGTATGGTGCCAACTTGCAACAAACAGAGAACAAATTTAAGTGATCAATAGAAGGATAATAACAAAAGATACAAACGTAAATCAACAAATAGGCAGAGACAATACAAATCCTTCTTAGAAACTTTGATAAATGGAAACTAAAAAACCTAGGAATCTACAACTGACCAAGCCTAAAAGGCACAAGCCTACCAAAAGAAAAAATTAAAAAAAAAAAATGAGGACTTCTATCTTTGAGCTGAATCAGGGCCTCCATGATTACTGGTAGCGGAAGATGATGCTGTCCTACCACCATTTAGCATCCCATTATCAACTGGTGGACTTGTTCCCCATTTCCCTTCTGATTCTTGGGGTTCCATCACTCTAACTGAACCATCTGTCAACCCCACCGCAAATTGATTCGGATCCTGAGGATGTGCTGCAACGGCAAGCGGGTACACGGCTTGACTTCTGTCAGAAAGCACAAATATGTTCAGCTTTAACTTAAATGCCAAAGAAAAGCTTTCTTGGATACGGGAAGATACAGAGATGTGCTACAATGAGCTTACACTTGAATAATAATAAACAAATCAAGATCATCATATGTGATTTTGGTGGTATAAGAAAGCATTTTCAGAAGAAGTCAAACTTAAAACACCTATGTTATCAGCAAACTGATCATACTCGGATGTAATATGATTTCTTACCCATTTAGTACCGACTGGGGTAAATACGCTGAAGGGGCAATGCGGCATCTTAATCTCAGGGTATCGGCATCAAACACCCCAATATTACCATCACAAAATGAAGCATAAACTAATTGGCTATTGCAGGAGTACGCAGCATAAGAGATAGGAGCTGAAAGGACATCCTGTGGTACCCACTGCAAAATAGTGGCATGAAATTTTATTATTATAAGAGCAGGAGCAAAGGATTGAACTCAGAAATTTTTGGATAAAATCATTACCTGTCGAATGCGATCCATTTTTGAAGCATCATATAGTGCAAGCTGTGTTTCATGCGACACTAGGAGACGAACTTGATCAGAATGAAATTGTACTCGAGTGTCACCTGTTGGCACTTTTCCAGCAGGAAGCTGTATCGGAACCAATTTTCTTTTCTCCCACGTATCGATACTCCAAACACATAGCTGCAGGTCACAACACACCATATGTAACATTAGTACTACAGTCAACAATAAAACTCAAAGAAATGTCCGCGTTCTACAACTCTCATTAATCCAATACATCACACAAATCATACATAACAGGAATAAAGCCCTGACTATACCCATAAATGAACCACAGTACAACAAGTGGATGAATATAAAGAATCTCAATTCTTCACCTATTTTCAGTTGGAAATGACCAAATAGTTTCTAACCTGAGCATCAGCGCCTGATGAAACCAGTATATTCAAGCTGGTAGAAAAGGCCAGGCCTGTTATGCGCTTCGAGTGACTTTTCAGCTTTGATTTCACCTAGAAGCACAAACAAATGAGATCTTGCTCCCAACTATGGAAGTTCAATGACCTACAATGATCGATAATGTGACAACGTTGAAACATACCTCATCTACACGAACGTTGTATATGTGGATTGTGGAATCCTCCATACCGATGGCTATAATGTTGTTATCTTGAGGGTGGAAGGCCAAGAAAGTTGAAGCGGGCGGAGGTGACATAAATGTAGTCATCACCTACATGATGCAAGAAAATGATAAATATGCATAACAAGCAAATATCAATATTTTAGATAAAAGGAAATCTGTTACAAGTCTGCTTGAAGGCATACCTTAAAAGTCATCATGTTGAACAATGAAACCTTTCCACCAGCAGCTGACATAACATAAGAATCATTCTTTGAGAGAGCAATGCATGGAACGGCCTCCTCAAGGTTGACACCTGCGACATCATTAGTCATAACAAGGCCACTGTTTGGTTGCCAATGTTGAGGCACAATGCTAGCAGTGGCCTTTACAACAAATCCAGATGATTTTAGAAGCTTTTCCACCAAAATAATTAAGGATATAAGAACTGATTAGAATACATTACAGAATGATATGTCCTATTCCATAATCATTACCTTCCCGTTTGGATTTTGCTCATTGCGAACCCACTTCCAGAGCTTTTGGACACCAGATGACCCCAGGGCCAACAGACCGACCCCAGAATTTGTGTAAAGAAGTCGAGCAACCTAGACAAAAATACCACTCTCAAAACCAATCTTACTGCAAATTGACAACAGAACCTGAGAACAATGAGCTCACACACCTTATTACTAGCATCTGTACTCTCCGGCATGGTAACCATTCGGCAATGCCCAGGATCCACAATTTCCGTCAGCTGCCATGGTTTCATTTTATCATTCACATCATCCAAACTTCTTGGTTTGTCCATTGCTCTAGATATTGAATCAACTCCATTCTGAAAAATCAACATCCAAAGACAAACATTTCAGCATGTTAACCATCGTAAATAGGTGGAACTTTAAAACTAAAGACAAAATTGTCGCTAGAACTCATTGAATGGGCACAATTCAAACCATATTTCAGGAACTACTAGTTAAATCCACCTACAGAAAATTATTAACATTCATCCGCAATACTAAGATTGGTACATCATGTTTTCATCAGAGAACAAAAGGAATCACATACAAGTATAGGAGATGGTCTGACAGGAGAACTTCTTTCAACTTTCAGATTAACAGGAGGAATGCTAGCAACAGCCGAACCAGAAACCTGCTCAAGCAAACAACGATTATAGTTTCTTTCCACCATTAAATGCTAAAAGAACAAACAAATATCTTAGTTGCACTTCCATTGCAAGAACTTATGCAATGCCTCAGCCTTCAACCCCTAGATGCAACCCTCTCTTGCGGGTTATTGAAGATCAGGGCGAAGAGTGTGCACAAAAGCTTAAGATCCACATGTGTGTGGCAGGTGTGTGGCAGGTGTGTGGATGTGGGTGTGGGTGTGGGTGTGGGTGTGGGGCATGGCAGGTGGGAAAGAAAGAGAACCTTGATTGCAGCAGCTTCCATGGGTGACCTCAATGCTTCAAAACCAGGGTTCTCGGCAGTTCTCAACGACCTCATGCCCGCTGCATTTGCAAGTATCTTGATTCCATTGTCAGCAGTGGTAACAGCAAGCAGATTCCCTTCTTTGTTGAATCTCAGGCGTGGAAGAGACTGTAGTTCACAAACATACATTTGTTAAGCTATTATCAGAGCTTTATCTATGACTATCTTTTTCAGCTTGTGGTTTTTTCTCTTGGATCAGATGCATCCAAGTTATCAATCAGGAAATACGAATTCAATATTATATACACCTACCGGAAGACCACCCTCAGCATCGGTTGAGGTGAGAATGTTAGTGTTATCCATGTCCCAAAACTTGATCTGGCTGTCTTCACCTACAGCCAAAAAGTGATTTTGAGTAGTATCAAACTGAACAACTCCAGCTGATTTCTTTCGGAACCCAGTGTAGGTCCTCTTTATGGCTCCTTCACTTTCATTCCATTCAACCAGAAAAGAGTCTCCTTCTTTGCCAGTTCCACAAGAGAACAACCTACATTGAAGGGTATCAGAAAATCAGTAGTCACGAATGAACTTCCTAGTGTTTGTAAGGAAGGGGTGAGATAGAAAATAACATTAAAAATGAAAAAACATCCTGGTTACAAACAGCAGTGATCTTACCTACTACCATCAGCACTGTAAAGCATTGTGGTACACCAACGCCCAGGAGCATCATAATCAACCCTAGATCCCATATTATCATACAACCATGCCTTAATCTTCCCATCAATAGCTGTTGAAAATATAAACTGCAAAGAATATACCCAAATAAATTAGAACACTGAATACGAGAGCACAATAAGTTAAATGGCTGAAATAGAATAACATACACTAGCTACTGAATGAATGCTGAAACACAGGTGCAGTTTAAATACGACAAAACATCTTTCACATAAAATATATAAATTAGTTCCTTGAGTTAATTATAAGGTCATGCTAACAGAAAGTATCAAAACATGCCTAAAGCACAGCGGCGTTCGGTCACATAGAACTCGGAGTAGTTTACAAAGCACTTAAACCAAAAAATGTTTGATTCTTCTGTGCTCTCAAACTTGGATAAAAGAAACCGTGTAAATGCAGAACCTATAGCTAGATAAGAAAATTGATAGAGCTTAGGGTTAAAGTTCACACAAAATTTTGGTCAAACTGTTATTTAGGGGTCAGCTAGTATACTAACAAATTTCTGAGAAATGAAATTGAATAAATTATGTTGATATTTATCATATACCTGAATATTTTCTTTTTGATGGGGACATATGGAGTATACAGGTGCCTCGTGTCCTTCAAAATTAAATAACTTGCGTCCTTGTAAATCCCAGACCTGTTTCAAAATTTTCCATCAGATTGAAAAAAATGTAACTGGAAAATAACTGATGGCTGCTTTTTTCCTGGTCACCTTAATCAATTTGTCATCCCCACAAGTCACAACACACGGCTGTTTGTTCGGATAAGCAAAAGCTATATCATTTACTCCCCCGGCATGGGCATCAATCTGCAGATACAAAAGAATGCAAATCAGATTAATGATGAAAAGTTTCACCCCTAAAGATCAGCAAACAAAATATACCTCCAGAGGCTGGTGTAAATCATTTGACCCAGCATAGGCATACAAATGGACCAAATGCTTAGAGAAAGCAGCTCCTGTTTATACGTGCCAGAAAATGAAAAGGAACAGTCAGAACTACTCACAGATACCTAGTACAACCAAACACAATGAAGTTGTAGCATACCGGCAAAAGTACCATCAGGACTCCATGTGACACGGCTCACTGAAAAAGGTGCCTCTTTGGCAACAGAAGCCTGTTCGGACTCTTTAAAGTGAGAATAATGAAAGAAAAATTCCTTGCATAACATCATGGTGCAGAATGGCATGAAATATTAGTTAGCAATGTATGCATTGTGCATTTCATACAGCAGTGTAAAGGAAGGAAACATTTGGAAAATTATTTAGACGTATCAAAATCATATAAATGCAGTCATGAAATGTTTATGGCAGGAGTATTAGAAAACCCCTAAAAAGAGGCCTGACAGAACCTGAAATGACAAGGAACAAGCTTGCATTTCCCTAATCTTAAAGGGCTTAGTGACCAGCTTCTCTCGGATGCCAACCTCCCAGAGGGTAATATCACCATTATTAGAGCCCACTGTAAATAGAGTCTCAAATCTCAGTTAACAATTAAAATGCAAAAGGTCCATTAACAAGACCTAAAAAGTTTCAATAGATGTGGCATTACCAAGCAACAGGGTATGGTGAGAAGGATGGAAGTCCATGCTTGTCACAGTGGATCCTTGATGCATGGTAAAGGCAACATTTCTAGGCAGATCATCCAGGGACCACGATGGTTGTTGACGAGCTGTTGGATATGTAACCTGAATATTACAGATAAATATACTTAAGGAGAGAACTTTACAGAAAAGTTATTAGATTAGAAACAAGAACAAAATCGAAATCTATTCACAAAAGAAGATATGTCACCTCCTCAACTGACTGTGCCGGGCGTAGGCGTTTCATTAACTGTTCGTGATCAGCACTCTGGTACTCAACCATGCCCAGCGTAGCAGGAGGCGTAATTGGACGCTTCAACATGGAAACTGTATGAAGGGGAAGAATATCGAGTCCATTCAGACCATAGTTACTTAAAGCACATCAGAACTCAAGAAATAGGAAAAATGCCGCAGAAAAGAGTAATTATTAGGAATAGATGATAACCTTGATTTGGTGGTACTGGCAAGGACGATGCAGTCACCACAGCTGCTTGAACAGATGAAGAAGCAGCAGCATTTGCCATCCAACCAGCTAATGCATTTGCATTAGCAGTAGCAGCTGCGGGCGGAAAGGGCTGCAAGACAAAGGCAAGGCAAAGATAGGTTGTTAGAAAGCAGTCTGAAATACAAGGTTTGAACTTGGCATCTGAAATAAGTGATTGTCATCAGTAACTATATGAAATTCCTTCTGTAGAAGTTTCTTGTTATTTCGTACATATTGCCACAGAGGTTTCAAGTTTTCCACGGTTCTGTATGCATAAATGCAGGGGAGGAGAAAGAAAATGCTGTGAAGACACTAACCCCATGCGCTCCAAGTGATGTATAGGCAGCAGGCTTTGCAACAGCAGCAGCAGGAAGATTGACAGGAGTTTGAGCAAGAGCGCCATTTGGTGGGGTGCAAGTATGATCTGTGAATAAAGTCTTGATGTCTGGGTTTGGCCTTGGATTCTTACAGAGCTGATGCTGCCAGTTTAAACTGCAGAAGCCCACATCAGCATGGTCAACCAAGGTCCCCAATAATAATAACTCTTTTTTTTTCAAACCTTATTAATAATAAATAATAATAATAATAATAATAATAATAATTCATGAGGAAGCTGGTAAAACAATAAAAGTCATCAAGGCCATTATTACCTTTGATTGATTAGGGTGCGCAATCTAGATGCTTTCAGGGTAGGGAAAACAAGCTTCTCACGGAAAAGTGGATTAGCTTCAATTAATTTTTTCAATTCTATCAACATAATACTTCGAGCAGTCTTAGTGTCACCATATTTTGACAGCTGCTCATTTTCCCTGCAACAAAGAAGACCAATTAGACCTTCAAACTCAAAACCAGAATACGCGAAGCCAAGCAGAAAATGCAATATAATATATTCTCTAGGTCCTGGGAGAATATTTTCTGAGAACAAAAGGGAAAAACAAACAAACAAATTACTAAAAGAAAAAACAGAGAAGTGTTTGAGTTCATTAGCCTTCAAGTATACAGTTTTTAAAATTAAACAATGCCAAACGGATCTCAAGACCTAATGATATCAAATAGCCTTCATGATCAGCGTGATTGAAAAGAGACCTTTTCCCTAAAGCACAGAACCTACTTTCTGACCATTTCACATAAATGAATTTTGTAGTCTACCTTAAATTATTGCCTACAAAAGATGAAAGATGTAAAAGAAGCCACAACATATCCCCAAACCGTTTTCCTTTAACCGTAATTTCTCCTGTCAGCACAGTGGCGGTGCCATCATAAATGTCAAACTACAAATGCGCTGTGCAGTTGGTACCTCAGGAGTTGTGCAACCGAGATCCAATTAGGGAAAAAAAAAAACCCGTGTCAAACTTGCTTTCTATAAACACCAAACACTACAAGTGTTCTTCACAAGAACCATATCAAGGTCCCTACAGCCAAGTGCGACAAATCTAACATAGGAAACCAACTCCATGTACGACATAACCTCCACAATGCCAAATTAAGTGCTCAGTGCAAACTGAATCCGAGCCAAACAAACTCTTGCACATACTTAATGTTGTCACCGGAGAGAATTTGAGATAATAAAATGAGCCAATGCAGACATAATCTAACATCTTATTTGAAAAAGTGTAGCTTACGAGCATTATTCACAAACAAGAAAAGGGAAGTACCTGAAATTGTTGAGCGTTAAGAGCTGAGTTATTTCTTTGTACAAGTCCTCATTGAATGTTGAGAATACTTTCAGATCATTGACCAATATGTCAACTGCCTTCGCCTTGTCTTGGCTAATCCAAAAAAAGAAAAAAAAAAAACCAAGAAAAGATCAAAAGAAAATGATTAAGATTATGCTAAAGATAAAAAAATAACCAAAATATGAGAGTGAAGTGAATCATGTAGCATACCGGTCGAGGGATTCAAGATACTTTTGCTTCCTTATTTCAAAAAATATCTTCATGGAGTAACGATTATCATCAACTTTGGTGAACCCGGAAAGATACTTCTCAACCTCTTCCCATTCACCAGCATGCACTTTTTCCTCAAAATACTTCATATTGAAGAAAAACCCTGATTCTTGCTCAAGCCTACAATACCCAGTTCATTTGTTAGATATTTCCATTGCGTTCCAATAAACTTTCCCAGCTTATTTTTCAAACAAACAAAAGTTTCATCCAGTAGAAGCTTGATAAAGCCCCATAAAAAGAACAACTTTGTAGCCTCACTAAAAAAATTAATCTTCTCCAGTTTGGCGCAAATGCTCATGACCAAAGGACACATTCAATTCAGCATTTCCCATTAGTTCACCGAGCCCCAAGTCAATAATACTTAAAGCACAATTGACAAGAATTTTAGAATACCATTAACAAATATAAAACGCGACTAAGTAATTAACAAGCACACACAAAATAACCAAACTGAAAACTCAGGACCCCACCAGTGAAACGACTGTAAATTAATAATCCATTCAGTCTTTCACCAACTACCACAACCAACAAAAATTTAACCCAAAATTCCATCCAATCCCTGTTTTCCAGCTCCACAAGAAGGAAAGGAACAAACAGTGTAAAAAAAATAGTTAAGTACGAAAAAGGAAAGGTTAAAAAGGACCTAAAAATTTTCAAAAATTAAAACATAATTATGGAGGCAAAATAAAAATAAAAAAAAGTTAATAAACCACCTGTGAACAGACTCCTTGAACTTTTCCTCTTCAAGGAATTGCAGTATGAGGAAAACCAACTCCCTACTCAAAGACGACATTTCCAAAATTTATTTCCCGGATTCGCCGACAAAACCGCAAGCAAATCAACCGCTCCTCAATCAGATCGAAGCCCTAGCTGAAGCAAGAACACCGACCGGGGGCGGGACCCGAACAAATCCAAAAAAACCCGGCCGACCCCACGCCGAACCACCGACCGACGTCAAAATTCCTAGGGTTTTCTCAAAACCAAAAAACCACCTCCACAACTTCAAGCTCCAAAACAGAGCACGGAAAATTCCAAACCACCAATTAATTAAAAAAAATTAAAAACAGAGATTTAAAAAATTGAAGTAGTGAGAGAAAGCAAAAGAGCTGGGGGAGAGAGAGAGAGAGAGAGTTGTGCTTGTTCCGAGGGGGAGGAAAAAAGTTGGAAGAGAGGAATGAAGAGAGAGAAAGAGAAAGAGAGATTTATAGAGAAAAGAAGGAAAGGGGTTATGCTCTTATGGGAGAGGGGTGATGGGTGGTGTGGGGAATGGACTTGGTCTCGCTATCTTCGATGCGTTTGGCAGGAGTCTATCTTTTTCCACTGACCTATCACTGATCAGTTATTCTCCTTATATAGAGCTCCTCATAAGCTATTAGATAAGTGAATATGCTTATCAATGAACGTATCGTTGCGTGAAGTGGAGGAAAAAAAGGCGAGTAGGAAGGAGCGGATTTGAATGTGGGGATTCAATTAGAGTTGAATATTCGGGTTGAGTTACGTCTCTAACTCGTCTCGTGGGATTTTGTTTTTTCTCTTCCCCGGATGTTGTTGCTGTGCATTTAATACCGCTTGTGGTAGTACTACTATTCTTCTACTCGTTTTTTTCGAAAGGAGTACTATGTACTATAATTTGTTCATCTCATTCTTTTGGTTGGAGATATGAGAAATTAGTATGTTCGGGTAGGATGTGGTACCTTTTTCTTCTTTTTTAAACTTTCCATCTTTTCTTCTACCCTTTCGCAAGCATGGGGCACTGTACTTTTAAAATCTTTTTTTTTTTTTAGAATTTTAAAGAAAATATACTACGTTTGATTTGCTTACATATGTAGCATTAAATTTAAATTTTTGTCTAATTATTCAAAAAATAAAAATATTATTATTGTAACTTAAATGAATTATACCGTGTAGATTCAAAGAATGAAAGCTTTATTATTGTAAAAGATTTTCAAAATAAATGTTATTTACGGTTATCGACAAACGTTTGACTGTAATTTTTCAAATTTATCCGCATATGTCATTTTGGATAATTAATTAATGCGACGACTATGCTTGATTCTATTGACTAAAATTACAAGTGACGAATTTGGTTACATTACGGAAATTGTGATCTTAAATCTAACTATCTGTCTTTACTTTAGATGCATGTATATTGTGTATGTATCTTATTGAGACTTCTACTAAAACGCGGAAAATAGTTCACTTTACCGTATTTTTTTCGTTCAATATAATGGACCGAGTAGTACTTTATCCATTCCAAAATACGTGTCATCTTATTGTTTCGATCGTGTTTTTTAAAAAAGATAAAATTGATGAATTCTATGTGAAATAAGAGAAAAAAAAAACTTAACTGGATTTTAATTAGAAGTGGATTTTACTTCTCAATTGACCCAAGTTTTTCAAGGGGAAAAAACAAATAAATTTTACTACATTAGCATATATACAAATCCAATCTCATTTGCTTACACATTGTAGTACTCCTCCGGTTTTTAATATAAAGCATTTTGATTTTATTCTAAGTTTAACCTAATACGTAATTTTAATTAACGAAAAAATCTTAAAAATATATTTTTGCATTCGTTGTATTCTCTTGATTGTTATGAAATTTTTTAAGATTTTTTATCAATTAAAAAAATAAGTATTAGGTTAAATATAGAACAAATTAAAATATTTTATATTAAGGACCGGAGAGAGTATTTCTTTTACTATAGTTATTGAAACTTAAAAATTTAATTTATACTTTCAGTTGGATGAGTAAAAATATCATTAATTTTAAATTTTAACCTTCTTCTTTTGAATGTATAAAAGAAAATTAATTCAACAAATAGTATTTTTTTTTTTTTGATGACATGATATTGGATGTATATAGTGATTTGCTCTCCTTTCCGCTTTAAATGCGTAAGTTGGATTCCTTATTTGATGTTAGAAAAGTAAAACATCAAAATCTAGGATATGTTATAATTTTAAAAATTTTATAATCTTAATAAAGTATTCTTTTAAAAAAGAAAAGAAAAAAGAAATATAGCGTATGCTTCTATCCAAATTCTCGAGATGATAGTATAGAGAAATTTTTAAACTTATCGGGAATTAATGATACCTTCATTTTTCGTACCACGAGCGAGCGAGTGAGTGAACGTTAAGATTAATAGTCATACAAATGCAACGTAGGTGTCAGAGATGGAGTTGGGAATTGGGAATAAATTTATTTTATTTTATTTTATTTATTATTCCCCATTTCAATTTGTAGGTCTTTTAGATTTAGAGATATTTTTTAAAATATAGATCGTTTTACAAATTTTAGGCTAATTAATAATTATTTTTTTAATTTTATTCTCAACAAAGAATACTAACCTATTTTCATTTAGTCATATTTATAATTTTAATATAATTAACGAAGAGTAAAATAAATATTTAATATATAAATTAATTGTTTGATCATTATTTTTTTAATTTACGTGTAAAGTCTGAAATGTTTAGAAGTAAAATAAATAAGGAAAGGGAAGCAGGAGGCAGCAAAGAACTGGTTGGTATGTAGTACGCGTTTGGATTGCACGCTCGGTCGAGATAAGGTGGGGACCTTATGGAAGCTACTAGTAGTCGTCTAATTTTAGTAGTAGTAATTGACTAGTCTGGTCTTCAACTATCAATCTGGACGGTTTTTAACGTAAAATTCTTTAGAATCTTGCCTTAAATATTAGTACTTCCCACTAATTAGTTCGTCCATTTATGGTACTTTCTGTTTTAGTTTGGACAATAATATAATTTACTATATTCTGAATTATTGAAAATATTCACTCTTCCTGACCGAAAAAATCTATTATGACGAAATTTTACGTGTACATTAAGTCGGTTGACACATAAATTATTGACAGTATTGGTCCGGATCCATAACAGAGTTACAAATTCATATCCGCATGAGATACAATGGACAAAATTAATGTTCACAAATTGATTATCTAACATTCATAATTTCAGGTATGGTTTCTTATTCTTTGCTTAAATAAAAATCTTATAGTATAAGTAGTTTTGTTCTTGGAAAAAGTATGAAATTAATACTCTCTCGATCTCAAAATTATTGTCCAGTTTTGATTTTTATTTTTAATACAAACTAAATTAAAAATAAAAATTCAAACTGGTCAATAACTTTAGGACAGATGGAGTATATATTGGTGATCTTAACTAATAAATTCCTACCACGATTAAGAAGTAAAATATCAATGAAATATTTACTCATTATATAACACAATGAATATTTAAAAAATATTATTAAATATATAGTGTTAGTCATTTCAATTAAAAATAACATTCCTTCCATCCCAAAATGATAATGTTCAGTTCGATATTTTATTTTTAATATAAAAATTAGACAATAATTTTGAAACAGATGAAATATATCTTTAGATACCATATGAAATATTCTCTCTCCCCTTTTTCATTCTAGTTGAGCAACAGCTTAAAGTGACCAAAATTTAGTTAATTGTTCCACTGCTTGTTTACGATGATTAGTAAATGACAAATCGATCCCTGGAGTATTCCAGCATTTACAATATTGATTGAATTTAATTAATTTTTATACAGTGTGATTTCACCCGAATTTATTTCAGAACAGCTGACAGGTTGTCAGCACCAATTAATCTCGAGTGACCAAAATTTAGCCTAAATTTCACGATCTATTAAAATTTTACCAATTGTTCCACCGCTTGCATACGGTAATTAGTTAATGACAAATTGATCCCTAACTAATTCAATATTTACAACATTGATTGAATTGAAATAATTTTTATGCAGTGTGGTCTCTACTTATTATGAATCTATGTTTGATATGATACCAAACCCATGTCATTGTCGTTAGGACTTCACATTTATCCATCACTAATCGTTGAAATCTTAAAGTACATCACTCGTGTAATTAAGCTGATATCGTTTAGTTATATGGTTAAATGAAATGGACAGTACTTTTACTTAAAAGATGGACTATGTTAGCTAATATACTTTAATAACTATTTTGTTGCACTATGTAATTTAATATAATGTACTATTAAGGTAAAATATACGGATATTTTCATGATGAAATTAAAAATATAATGACGAAAGTGTTCCACCATTTATTCATTTTAACACAAGTACTCTTACTATTATCTGAACGATTAAATGGTTTAGGAACTAAAACCAAAAAAAAAAAGAAGAAAAAACACAGTACAAGTAGTACACTTTATTTAAAAGCATCCACAGCAGTGATAAATAATTAGTGAATAAACTTTATTATATTATTTATTTAGCCAGAATTCGTATATTATATTTTTTGGGATTAAAATATAATTAATGTCAATTTACCATAATACTAGAATTATTTTATTTTATTATGTTTTCACAGTATAAAATAATGTAGTGAAAAATTAAATTAAATTATTATATTAAAAATTTATGCCATTATATTTATTGTTATAGTATAAACGTTTGTAAATGCTCTTACCAAGTGTTACAAATACATTAGGAGATTAGCACAGTGATGCAATAGATTACTTGATCTTTGAATCTATAATACCTAGGTAAACTCCTATATTAAAAAGGGATGTACACGCATATGGGAATAGAATAAAATTGTCCCAACCCCGACGTTTCCTCCACCTCCAATAACCTCTTCTGTGATCTCACGTTCCAACAATAGTTTTGTCGAAAATTAGTGCAACTTTTGGTCATGATTAGCATAAATTAATCCCCCATTTTTATTTGTAAATAGTTCTAATTTACCCAAATGGACAAAAGCTTCACACATCTTGGATACTTTTCCCATGATGATGGCTTGCATGTGAGACCAACACTTCTCAACTGAGCAATTATTCCCTACTTCGCGATGACACCACAGAACCCGTACGCCTCCAATCAACGTCCTCCATTAAAGCAGACAATTACGCCTACGAACGTCACACACTGTGCAACAGCGACACTTATCCAAACACCGTCTGCACCGTAACATAACTTCCCAACTACGAGTCAAAAATTCCTAGCCTTTACGTCTCTTTTCTAACTTTTTGTTAATTTATCGCGAGAAGTTTAAGTCGCACTTAGCGAGAAAGAGAAAGACAATATATCGGCTTCTCGGGGGGGCAATTTCA